TACGTTGTACTCCCTTTTCTTACCTATAGTGGATCAGTTAGCAACTTCATATTTTCCAAAGTAAAACATTCCAAATTAGGTAAAAGCGGTGAATCTTTGTGTCTAAATTGACTACGATACCTGCTCAGATCCCCCCGTTTCCACGTACAAATGATTGTTTAATTAAACGAGATACAACGCCCTTCCCATTTCCTATTCCCCTTTTGCTTTCGGGATCGCGTGGTTAATTTGTCAAATTGTAGCAAAAAGTCACATTTGGGATTTCATTTTTTATAATGTAGATTGTAGATATACAGGGTGGCGCATCGAAAACGAAACAGACGCATTTACAGGCAGCTCAGTTTGTTTTTTTTTGGAAAAACGCTCAGACACGGCGATTTTGTTTTCGGGGAGGACACAAGTTTGGCAAAAAATCACGTTAACACGTGCAGCCCCCTGAGCGGGGGTGACACCAACCCTAAAATCTTAAATGGAAGGGGGAATTGAAAGACCTTTCAAATAAGGTATCACTCGACCTCCCTTTCCATTTAAGAATTTGGGGTGGTGTCACCCCCGCTTAGGGGGCTGCACGTGCTAACGTGATTTTTTGCCAAACTTGTGTCCCCCTCGAAAAAAAAAATCGACGGGTCTGAGCGTTTAAAAAAAAAAAACTGAGCTGCCTGTAAATGCGTCTGTTTCGTTTTCGATGTGCCACCCTGTATGTATATGTAACGTTGACTGCCGGCACTTCATAAAAAATGAATATAAGTACATTGTCAAAATTGATTGTACATGAATATTTTGGATGCGGAAATGAAATCTCAAGAACGAAGGAAATCATCATCAAACTTTTATACGTTTTTAAAACACATTTCTTTCCTAATTGATATAAGGTAAAAGAGACAAAGGATTTTCATTCGAAGAAATAGGCATCTCACATATATTAAGAATACCCAAACAGAAATTTAAATATCTTTCTTCAAGAAAAGTGCTACCACTCTTGCCAATGACTCTGTTACTTTGTGTTAATTTATTTTCTGTGACGAAGTCCTATATATGTATTCTCATGTCTTCAAGATAATAAATGTTATTATTAAAAGTTCTTGAATTCTACAAGAACATTTATATCTTGTCAGTGTTTTCAATATGAAGTAAATTATCTGATTTCCGAGCATATTGCTATTAACCGAAAGTCATCATTTTAAAAGAAAGTGTTAACCGATTCTCAATCAACTTTCAACTCTCGACCTATCGCAAGCTTCACCACCTTACCGAGCTTAAGATACGGCTCATTGCCATCTGGATCACGTCCTCCTCTTATTCGCTCCGAGGGTCTTCCTTTCGGTCTCTCCCTTCGGTGCGTGTCGAGTGATGGCCCTTAGGGACCCCCTACCCGCTGCTGCTGCTGCCCTTGGAGTTACTTTCCTTCCTGATCCGAGATGGAAAGCGAAGTTCGAGGTGCAACCTTGACAGAATCGTGACGAACGTGGAACAGGTGGCAGCGAGTTGAATTTTAAGGAGGCGGAGTGTACTCGCTTGCGAAGAAACATTTTTTCATCGTCCGATGATTCCTATCTCAGCTCAGAGGAAAATGCGTTAAGTATAAAAATTTCTCTCGTATTTCGTATTTTTTTGTAACAACCGGTATATTTTATATTCCTGTATATAAAAAACGTCCAACATAAACTATGTAGATATATAAAAACTAAAAAGAAAAGTATGTCCAAATAGAGAAAATGAAGATCGCCATATCTCTTGACTCTTTTCTCTTCTTGAAATGGCAACCATGCTGCTTGTCGGAACTTGGAAACTGGAACTGCAAACAGTAATCCTAGGTACGCGCATTGATTACAGTATTAAGCAGCTCGTCATCATGGGTAGTATAAATGGCAACACTGGTTTGATGATCATTGAAGAGATTCGACCTGTAACTTGACCCGCTATCTAGAATTTGCCAAGTCACAAATATTAAGACACTTTTTAAAGCAGCATTAAAAAAGATCAAAATAGGTGTGCCTCAGGGGACGGTTTTGGGACCAACACCGTTCCTCATATACATAAATGCGCTACTTGGACGCAATTTCAACTGTAAAATGATATCATATACAATTTATAGAATCGAATTGATTACAGTATTAAAAGCAGCTCGTCATCATGGTTAGTATAAATGGCAACACTGGTTTGATGATCATTGAAGAGATTCGACCGGTAACTTGACTTCCTATCTCCAATTTGCCAAGTCACAAATATTAAGACACTTTTTAGAGCAGCATTCAAAAGATCAAAATAGGTGTGCCTCAGGGGACGGTTTTGGGACCAACACTGTTCCTCATATAAATAAATGAACTACGTCGATGCCATTTCAACTGTAAAATGATATCATATGCAGACGATACTGTTTTAGTTTGCACTGATCATTCATGGAATGACGCAATACGGAATGCCGAGTTGTCATTAAATAAAGTCAAATAACAATTTACTTAAACTTAATATCTCTAAAACTAAGTATGTGACGTTTCTCCAACCAAAGCAGGCACGCCATTACACCACGAAGTTATTAGATACTCAGAATCATTGATGACAGTAATTTAAAAAGGCAGAGTCATCCGAGCTGTTGGCATCGAAATTAAGGAGAATTATTCATAAGTTTTTCATTCTTAGGAATATTTTAAGCAGAAAGAGTCTTCTCTCATATATAAGTCGTTTGTGGGAGTCTCAGGGGTCCTCGTACTAAGTATCGGATAAGTATATGTCTTTGGTAGTACACTAGACATTTAACCAACCATTAGAACGTTTTACAAAACTGTAGATGAAAAGTGACATAAATCCGAACACGCAGTTTAAATGGTTTTATTTTAATAAAGTTGGTGAATGTATTTATCTTACTGTAAATAACAAGTGAACAAATTTTCAGCCTTGTCAGTTGGACATTCCGGTTTTTATACTGCTTTTTTTTAATTCACTAACGCTCTAAAAATGAATATTTCAGCCGCAGTAAAGAATCAACGTTGGCGGATTTTGGTTCTTGACATCCTTTACGATCGGTTACGATGCCTAGAGTACGGAGACCTGTACGATTTCGTCAACTTAGTGAGTTTGATAGGGGCCATATAGTGGGACTTCGGGAAGCTGGACTTTCTTTTCGGGCAATTGCAGTTAGAGTGCAAAGAAGTGTAGACACTGTGGTTAGGTGTTGTCAGGCATGGCTTCGAGAAGGCCGTACGCAAAGAGCAAGGGGCACTGGACGCCGCCGTAGAACAACAGACCGTGAAGATCGCCCCCTAAGATTATTGGCCTTAAGGGACCGTTTCTCCACTACCAGGTCCATTGCAAATGAATGGTTTGCAGAACACGGAAGACCTATTGGCATGCGAAGTGTTTACCGACGAATGAGAAGTTTTGGCTTGTTTTCATACCGGCCACACTGGGTTCTCCCTAACTCGAGAACACCGACGTAATCGCCTTGAGTGGTGCAGACAACGGTCACTCTGGGATCAGGAATGGAACAGTATTGTCTTTAGTGACGAGTCTCGATTTTGTTTAGGCATGCACGATGGTCGTGCCAGGGTTAGAAGGCGACGTGGTGAAAGGAGGAATCCACAGTTTTTTGTTGAAAGACATGTTCATCACACTGTTGGAGTTATGGTTTGGGGTGCTATAGCTTATGGTTCCAGGTCACCTTTAATCTTCATCAGAGGTAACATGAACGCGCAGCGTTATATCCACGAAGTTCTAGAACACCATCTTTTACCCTGGCAGATCCAACTTTCCAACAAGATAATGCTCGACCACATGTTGCTAGAGTCACAATAGACTTCTTTCAACATAATGATGTCACATTGTTACCATGGCCACCAAGATCTCCCGACTTATCCCCAATTGAGCACGTGTGGGATATGATGGATAGGAGATTGCTCAATTTGCAACGTCCTCCTCAGACTCTAGAAGCACTTCGAGAGGAGTTGGTGGTTGCCTGGAATGAGATACCACAGGAGGACAATGACCACCTGATCAGAAGCATGCCTAGGCGCGTTTGAGAATGCGTAGCACATCAGGGTGCATCCACACATTATTAAAGGTCAAAGGGCTTTAAAGCATTGCAATCATTTGAAATTTTTATCATTTACTTATTATGCTTCATTAAGTACTTATACAAAATTTTATTAAAATAAAACCATTTAAACTGGGTGTTCGGATTTATATGTCACTTAGTATACGTTGTAAACGTTAGATGAAACCCTGAATTCTCTTGTAGCTATATGACATATTGAAATTGAAGAAAATCACACACTTTCTGAATATTTTGGCGTTTCCTCAAAATTTGGAAAAGATGTACCGTCCCTTTTTTTAAATATTTAGATCAGAAGTTGATAAATTCGTAGTTTCAGGCATATGTACTATTTCATTTCTTCAGGGAAAACAGTTGTGGAAATGTTTAAAAAACTAACCGTATGAAACTTTAGTAGCATTAATAAAAGCGTGTTAAAAAGCTACTGCAGAATTGGATCACTTTTTTTTAATAACTAAGAATAAGCAGATAAATCCAGTCCGGTACATTCGAATGTCTTTCTAGTAATATCTCCAACAATTTCCATCAAGGAATCGTCAATAGTTATTTTATCTTGTTCCACTTAACTGAATCGTATATGCAACCAGTATAGCTACCCGCTGTTTATAGTTCCGAAAAAGGAACCTGCGTGTATACAAAAGCGTATTGCCATCCAAACATGGCCTGCATCTCCGTATTTCCCTGAACAGCGTGACTCAAATTTTCACACATAAACTACAACCGAACACTCATTACCTAATCCATTCATTTTGAGCATTAACCTAAAAATAAGCATCTAATGAATGGCAGCGAGATCCGTTTTGATTGGCTGACTCATCAGCGACGCATTTCGAAATAGTTCCCGAACGAGAAACTCCTACACTAGGAACCGGCCAAATCTGACGAACTTCTATTTTTGACGGCATTTTCAATATATTTAGAACGCAAAGGACGTGCACTGTTTACGTTTTGACACACTTCCTTTATTTTTCAGGTGAGTTGTGCGAGAAAATGAAATCGGGCAATCAGGGTAAGTATACATATAAACAAGATGAACGTATTTGTCTTCAATATTTTCTTGCTGCGCAACACCCTCAACTTATTTAACCATCGTATTTCGTAATCAAACTTGTATCGATTCAAATTTGGTATATTACGCTGCAGGGGGAGTGTATTGTATGATTTGTGACACTGAAATGTGAGGAAGACCCCCTCGCGACTTACTAAGAGATACGCATAGGAAATTCCAAGTAGTGAAATTTAAAGAATAAAAAGATTTGCTTAATATGACGGAAAAGATTTATCACTTGGAGGGAGCGGATAAGGAAACCGGGACTGTATCTGTGTTAGATTTAATGGGTCTATGATTTTATACGCGTGATATGCATTCCAGATAGGGGAGGATTTTGAATTCTGAGGGGTGATGTAGGGGTACATCACTTTCTATTATTATTGTGGAAATCATAAAGTGCAAAAGATCACCGATAAGAAAAGTCGTGTGAAGTTTTTTATAAGATAGAGAAGAGCAAGAATATTTGATCATTAAAAGGCATTTGTATTAAGAGAGAAATGATCAAATCACAATATCTGTCAGGAAACTATATCTCGTACAGTAACGCTATCTAGATTTTAGAACTCGTTGCATATTCCGGTGACACATGTATGAACAAGATTTCCGTTTTCTGTAGAAACGCTCGAACATTAAGAGTCGTGAATATTACATAACATTTAGTACAGAATTCGCTTAGGATTGACAAGTTTTGATAAATAATTTATTCATTTAGTATTCAGAAGAGAATCGGCCGTACAAGTGAACGCACTACTACATAGGTAGAAATAGGAACTTGTAAAATTGAAATGGACATGAGACGGACATCGATATAAATTATTACCGGTAAAGGCGACTTGTGTCCATAGACGATCAGGATCGGATGGATACTGCTTTGATAAATCCCTCTATATTTTTTATATTTTTATAATCTCAGCTCCAAGATCTCATTAGGTGAACTAGTTATAAATACGCGGAGGATTTTACATGCAATTATTTATAGGACCTTAAATTGTGGCCATTGTCTACGGGTTTCTATTATAAGCAAGTTCATTATAAGTGGTTTGCACTGTATTGATATTTCCTTATTATGCTAGGTAATAAACAACCAAATCAACAAAATATTTATTAGAATATAGCTGCTATATATATATAACTAATCAAAGGAAGAAAATAAAATTGCTAGAGTTTGTAATAAGTAAACATTAAGTATAAAAGAAAAAATAAACACATAAAATAACAGGACTCCGAACTGTGAACACCTTCTGAAGATGTGAACCACTCGTTGAAACGTCAAATAAAAATATTTTACACTGTCCTAACTACCCAAAAATCGACCAATTAACATTGTATGAAGTTGTATCTATATATGTATTGAGCATCGAACAAAGGTTCGACTGATAACTTAGTCTTGTTTTGTAACAGATACGAGTATATATGATTATATTGTACCTCAGTTCACTGCACATATAGTTTGTAAGCGACTTTTAAGCATTGCAATCAAATATTTTTTCGAAAAAATGGCGGCAAATAGGTTAGCTCTAACTAGGAGCATGTATAACGATGGAACTCCATTGATCATGTTCGTTTGGCTATATTACTTTCACTGTAGGTCTAAAGGATGAATATACGGTGAAATTTATGTGAGAAAACAAGACTAGCAGCGCGAAATACTTTGTGAAAATTTCCAAAAATGAGCAGGAGTTCCTGAAACTGTCTACTAAATTAAACTTCCTCCACAACCGAAGTACTCGTATTTCCGATGTTATGATCATATCATTCCCCTTTAGATGGAATCAGAAATACAATCAAAAGCAAAGACGGAGTGGCGGTGCCCTGGTCGCAATTAACCGTTTTATTAACTCCGAACTTCAACTGCTTCCTCTTTACCCCTAAGGACAAATCTCTTTGATGTCCTTCCTCGTTCGTCGTCGATTCTCCGTCTCTGTCTCGCGCACACACACATTAACTTTTCACAAGATCGTGCGTTAGCGGGGCTTTTCTTTTCGGCTTTAATACGATCTCGATCAAATATTTACGGTAAAAACGGTGGTTAAGGAGCTCTGATCCACTGCTGATTTGTCCTCATGTATTCGTTATCGAATCGGTGTCTTTTTTGTCTGTAGACTCGTTGACTGCACTTGCAATCGAGGAGAATAGTTTTCCGGGTACGGTCTTTCAACAGAGCAAAGAAAATCAGTATTTTAAGATCGAAACTTTATTAAATGATTTCAATAAAGGTGCAATAAATATACTATTTAATCTGATTAAGAATTTATTATAGATCGAAACCACGTTCATTTTGCGTTTCTCACTAAGAAACACCAAACAGCATGCCCAGTTACTCAAGAAAGTGTGTCGGGTCATTTGCGAAACACCCTGTATAGTCCATGCACACACGGATGTACCTGCACCTACTAATCAAGTATGCAAGTAGTGTAAGTACGGTTAAGTGGTGTTGTCTATCAGTCTGTTGGGGGCTAGTGCATTATTTAACAGTAATTATTGTAAAATAGGCGTTGATATACCCCTGACACATGTTGTAAATGGCTGTCGACATGCATCTATAGCAAACATTCTCGTACGAGTGTATGCGTCTCAGTTCTTGCACAATTATTCATTTGTTTGTCAGATGGACAGTTAAAACAAGTTTCATAATCAATGATATAGCTTTAAAAATGACGTAAAGTTGTTTGACTATACGAGTATTATCTAGAGCTTCGATACATTTTCTAAGAACCTGGCTGTTTTTTTCTGCCTTTATTTGAGATTAGAGAATAAAAAATACATTAATCTTCCCAATTTTTCTCCTCTGTAAGTTGGCATAATTGCACAGTTGAACAGAGTGTTCAATTCTGATTCCAAAAATGTATAATCGGTCATCAATCCGAACACCCAGTTTAAATGGTTTTATATTAATAAAATTTTGTATAAGTACTTAATGAAGCATAATAAGTAAATGATTTCAAAATGATTGCACTGCTTTAAAGCCCTTTGACCTTTAATAATGCGTGGATGCACCCTGATGTGCTACGCATTCTCCAACGCGCCTAGGCATGCTTCTGATCAGGTGGTCAATGTCCTCCTGTGGTATCTCATTTCAGGCAACCACCAACTCCTCTCGAAGTGCTTCTAGAGTCTGAGGAGGACGTTGCAAATTGAGCAATCTCCTACCCATCATATCCCACACGTGCTCAGTTGGGGATAAATCGGGAGATCTTGGTGGCCATGGTAACAATGTGACATCATTATGTTGAAAGAAGTCTATTGTGACTCTTGCAACATGTGGTCGGGCATTATCTTGTTGGAAAGTTGGATCTACCAGGGTGTCAAGATAGGGTAAAAGATGGGGTTCTAGAACTTCGTAGATATAACGCTGCGCGTTCATGTTACCTCTGATGAAGATTAAAGCTGACCTGGAACCATAAGCTATAACACCCCAAACCATAACTTCAACAGTGTGATGAACATGTCTTTCAACAAAAAATTGTGGATTTCTCCTTTCACCACGACGCCTTCTAACCCTGGCACAACCATCGTGCATGCCTAAACAAAATCGAGACTCGTCACTAAAGACAATACTGTTCTATTCCTGATCCCAGAGTGACCGTTGTCTGCACCACTCAAGGCGATTACGTCGGTGTTCTCGAGTTAAAGGGAGGACCCAGTGTGGCCGGTATGAAAACAAGCCAAAACTTCTCATTCGTCGGTAAACACTTCGCATGCCAATAGGTCTTCCGTGTTCTGCAAACCATTCATTTACAATGGACCTGGTAGTGGAGAAACGGTCCCTTAAGGCCAATAATCTTAGGCAGCGATCTTCACGGTCTGTTGTTCTACGGCGGCGTCCAGTGCCCCTTGCTCTTTGCGTACGGCCTTCTCGAAGCCATGCCTGACAACACCTAACCACAGTGTCTACACTTCTTTGCACTCTAACTGCAATTGCCCGAAAAGAAAGTCCAGCTTCCCGAAGTCCCACTATACGGCCCCTATCAAACTCACTAAGTTGACGAAATCGTACAGGTCTCCGTACTCTAGGCATCGTAACCGATCGTAAAGGATGTCAAGAACCAAAATCCGCCAACGTTGATTCTTTACTGCGGCTGATATATTCATTTTTAGAGCGTTAGTGAATTAAAAAAAAGCAGTATAAAAACCGGAATGTCCAACTGATAAGACAATTTTTCACTTGTTATTTACAGTAAGATAAATACATTCACCAACTTTTATTAAAATAAAACCATTTAAACTGGGTGTTCGGATTTATATGTCACTTAGTATATATTGACATTGTCAAACCTATGTTATTAAAAAAAACCTGATATTGTCACAGTTGGCTTTGAAAATGACAATTGCTGACATTCCAATACAAATACATGGAATATGTGGAAAATATCACATCGTTAAAATCGGAAATAGGGCTTTTCATCTACGCATAGTACAAAAAAACTGCACGTGCCAAACTTGGGTCCCTCTCGAAAACAAAATCGACGGGTCTGAGCGTTTTTCAAAAAAAAAACTGAGCTGCCAGTAAATGCGTCTGTTTCGTTTAAGATGCGCCACCCTGTATATCCCCTTTTCATAAATTTTCTGAATGAACATCGCATAATTAAATTATTCGTGTACGTCCAGATTGTAAACAACGAATCGGAATCATTCATTCTTTGCCCCATTCCGAATTTAGTATGTATGTCTGGTGCGGGGAGTCAAAATTAGACGCCACCGGCACGTCTGATATAGAATTCATCAATGAATCGAAACTGTAATAGCAGATGGTGGTCACAACAGGAGATTTCCCTTAAAAGGCAGCTCAAAATAGACTCTGAGGTGTCTCGTCTACCTCCACATTTTCTATGCTGTGGCCGCCAGTCTCGTCAACAGAGGTTCAATGCACTACCCCTGCTCTGCTCCGCCATTGATAAACAACACAAAATGCAACTGTTCCTCGCAATTTATAAAATATACTAAAGTAAGAGAAAACC